AAGGGTCCAAAGTTTTCCTCAGATGCTCCAAGGGATGTCATTCAGAAAATGCTGAATCACTGCCTTATAGTCTAGAATTTCTTCTCACACCTGAAGGCCCTTTCACTCTGTCTCCCCCCCCCAACCCCCTGCCCCCCATTCAATTTTGGGGAAAGCAATTCCCGCTGTGCTCACGTTGTCTCCCTTGGATCCCTGAAATCAGAATCAAATTGGGTGGGTCTGGTTTCCCCCAAATAGTCTTTCCCAAGGAAGCTCAAGGCCATGTCAACCTCAGCAGGGAGGAGGGTGTTCTCTGAAAAGCTTCAGATGAGAATTTCCCCCATGGAGAAAGCAATAATACACAACTTATATTTACTGATGTCTCTTCTATCCTAAAGAGTCTATGAATCCATAGGAAAGAGGCTGACAAGGGGCACAGAAGGTTTTCCTCACCTCCTCTGGGCGGCTGATCTCGATTCCTTCTGGGCCTGTGATACCCAAATCTAGCGCCTCCTTGGCACCCTGAATAAAAGACAGAAAACTGAGAGAACCATACAGATACAAGAAAATCAGAAACCCCAGGGACACTAAAATATGCCGGACGTAGCCCATTCCAATAGGCTTGCTACTTTTCTCCCTCCTGTAGTATTCATCTTCCAAAGAGGGCAGAATCAGTAAGGGCTCCCTTGCAGTAAGTCTCTCTTGAGTTTCACTTCATAAGGACTGAACATACTTTTTCCTCTTAAAATTACAGTTCTGTAATTAGCCAACAGGCTTGGGACATCCAATACAATCGGTCTGAAACTCAGAATTGCCCCCACTGAAAGTCTAGTCAAATCTCTAGCTTCCAGCAACACCTAGATTAACCCTTCCCAAGTATCCTATTTAATTTCCAGGAGTAAAAAGGGGCTCATCTACCAGTGAGGAGATCACTAATAATATCTCAGCTCTTTTGGGGGGGCAGGGGGTAACAGGAAAGCAGAGAGCTGACTCTGATTTATTCTGATGTCAAATCTCATTAAAAATAATTCTTAGAGGTGCTCCAAATTCTTTTGCCATAATGGAATTTAAATATCCTATCATTAGAACTAAGACATCATTATCTAAGACTCAGACACCATTCTGGACTGTAAAGAGATTTTTGTTTCATAGACAGTAGAAAAGTTTGGATTTTCTGACTAAGATTTGTCACCTGGGGTGTCAACATCTCACACTTTCTTTCATAACTTATTTTCTCTGAACAAAATTGTGGGATGGGTGATGGGGGTGGTCAGGAGTCCCCCTGAGAACTGTTTGTATTGGTGCCCCAGCCTCCCCCCTTCCCAATATTCTCTATTGCCTTGCCTCGGCCACGAGCTCCCCATTCTCAGCATGGACTCGGGGGATCGCTCCAATGTCCTTGCAAGCGTGCAACACTTGGTAAAGCTCACTGTCCCGGAGCATGCACAAGTCTTTGTAGGTCATGAACATCTGGAACGAGTTGACACCCTTCTCCCTTACCAGTGTCTCCATTTCTGCTTTCACCTGGAGAGCAAAATGCAAAGGCAATGCCTCGTGAGTACAGATGTTCAAGAGGCGGGCTGGCGGATGCTGGCTCAGGATGGCGGGGATGTGGGCCAGTCGGCAGAGTGACTGTATGACCACCCGCCACCTCGCAGTATCTCATTTTCCTCCCACAGGCAGCTGTATGGTTACATGAGCAAATGGATGCAGAACTACTTGGTAAGTTGTCAAGCGTGACACAAATATAGCCTATATTGTTACTGTCCAGGCACGTTTCTGCTATCCCAGAGGCTTGTCCTGTGTTTCTGACTCCAAGTCAGCCTTCTTGGTGAATGCACTAACTAACAGCTTTTACTCCCACGGCTTGTGCCCCCTGCCTCCCTAATGGAAGTGGCGTTACAAAGAAGGCACAATAATGCTAAAAATCCAGAGACTGGGGGCACTTGGCTGGCTCAGTCAGTGGAGCATGCAACTCTTGATCTTGGGGTTGTGGGTTTGAGCCCCAGGTTAGGCATGAAGATTACCTAAAAATAAAATCTAAAAAAAAAAAAAAAGAAAAATCCTGAGACCCTGGGAAAAATCGAATTTAGGAATATGAATAAAGCTATGTGAATAAGAAGATTCATCCCAACATTATTAGGATGTAAATTGGAAACTGGGATGAGAAAAGGGAAGTAACATTGGTCTGACAATAGGAAAATAGCTTGAAGTTTATCTCCATGAAGACCATGCAGCCAAATAAAAAATGCTTGGGCTTAAGCGAAAGAGTTACTATGTAAAAAGCACCTGTGAAAAAAAGACTGGAAGGAAATAAGCTAAAACAATAGTGGTTGTGTTGGGGGGTGCCCAGATGATGGGCTTCTTTCCTATTTTTAAAATCTATAGTTAGAAAAAATTTTTTTGATAATAACAAAAAAGAATTTGAAATTCTAGAGGCATGGAAGTCCCCACAACCTCTGGGGACCTGGGGATGGCTGGCCTGGCCTCAGTGTGACTGAGAATCGGAATGGACACTCTATTCCAGGCCAACTCGAGGGGGAGGGAATAGAGAGGCTTGGGGTAGTGTCGTCCACCCAGGAGGGTGTCCAAATAAACAAAACCCCACTTGTGGTAGGGGCTGGGTGACATTCAGGGTGGTCTGCGCCTTTTCCCTATACCAGGAGGGAGGTCTTCATGGTGTGAGGCTTGGGGGCCTCTGAGGCCTTTCCTAAGGACCAGGTCGGAAATAACGGAGGAGACTGGGTGAGCCCCACACTCACAGCTAAAACCCAAGGGCAGAAGTACACAAGGCTTTTAATTACCATCTGAGAAGGCAGTCAGGCCCTTTAGGCCAGGCTCCACAGCCGAAGGGTTTTGTAAAATGTCTTAATGCTTGTTGTTTTGTTTTGTTTTTTTAAAATAGACTCCATGACCAATGTGGAGTTTGAACTCACGGCCTTGAGATCAAGAGCCGCATGCTCTACTGACGGAGCCAGGCTGGCGCCCCAGTGCTTGTTTCTTTTTATGATTCTAGGGCACCCACACAAGTACCGGCACATGGTGATTAATACAGAATTGAGGAAAGAACGAACACCCAGCCTGCTTCCCTGGGGTAATAAGCAGTAAAACTCCAGAAATGAGGCAAAATCTAAACGCCTATCTGTTTTTAGGAAGAGCAAGGAGGTGGGAATCCGGGGCGTGGCCCTGGGGCCTGGGGCAGTGGGAGGACAGGAAAGCCAGCCGTGAAGGCCACAGAGGTTGAAGTGAGAAATGGCTCTGTGGGAGGCAGCCTCATCCATGTGCCAGGAGCAGCCTCCGGGCTCTCAGAGTGGGGGCTGGGCCCCCAGAGGGAAGAAGGGGCCCTGTCCATTTGTTTCAGGCAGCACTGAGCCAGGATAGCACCCTCTGTTCTGTTCTGAGCCCTCAGGGCCATGCTGTCCCTTCCAGCACGAAAACGACACGACCCTTGGAGCCTGACTCTTGCCCACTACTCAGCAGCAGCCCCCTTAGGTGTCGCTGCCATCAAGAGATGCTGCTGTGGGCTGAGCAAGGATTCAGAGCTCCCTACACCTCTGTCTTAGGCCTTCTGTGTCTGATGGAAAACTGGCCCTTTAAATTAAGAACAAGTCTTCTCACCCCCTTGTGGAATCTGTGTTTTTTTTTCTTTTGGCATTTTGGGGGGGCTAGGATGGTGGGGGGGTCCCCACACCTACGGGAGAGCACCCCACCCTAGCCGACTCCGACCAGACTGCCCCTCTGCCTCAGAGAGCGTTCATTCTTCTTTTGGGATTCCAGCCAGCACTGTTACCTTGGGTGCCCACCAGGTGATCCCCACGTGCAGGGCGTAGTCACAGCAGACCTTGGGGTCGGCCAGACCCCGGCACTTCTCGTAGGCGTCCACCAGGGAGGTCTCCTTATCGGGCAGGACGTGGCCGATGACCATGGTGGTTCCTCCAACTAGCGCCGCCTGCAGGGGACAGGAAGAGCAGTCTTGTCACATCCCTTGCCACACGGGAGTCACCGATGCAGGGAGACACGGGGCCCAACTACAGACCCTATCAAGCAAGAGTCCCCAGTGCAGCAACGCTTGGGAAACTGTAAGGAGCTGGACATGCAGGACCCAGTGTGTAACCTTCACCCCCCACCGTGGATCCAGCACACAAACCTTCTTCTTCCTCGTCTCGGGGTGTGGCTCGGTGCTTTGGAAAAACCACTTCGTGTGTTACCAGAGCCTGAGGCCAGCCTCTCCTTCCCAAAGAGCAGACTGCCCCCACCCCCAATGATTCTGGCCAACTGGACTATATAGATGACACAACCAATGCTTAATGTAATGTGTCTATTTATAATATTTATTTAGTCACCCAGACGTATTTAAATCCTAATGAAGCAAATGTTAATTTGGATATATCATTTTGTTTTATTCTATCCTATTTCATGAAACAATTTTATTATTTATTTAAAATATTTTTATTTATTTGATAGAGAGCACAAGCTTCGGGGAGGGGCAGAGGGAGAAGCAGGCTCCCCACTGAGGAGGGAGCCCGATGCGGTGCTCGATTCCAGGACTCCCAGGACTCTGGGATCATGACCTGAGCTGAAGGCAGAAGACGCTTAACTGACTGAGCCACCCAGGCGCCCCTTCATGAAACAATTTTATTCAAAGTTTTCACATGCACCTTCCACATGGGGGTTTTTGTCAGTTTTTCCAAGCACATTTAGTTCATTTCCATTTATCTTGTTTGAGATAGAGCACTTTTTAGGTCCCTGTATGATTTATCAATGAAAAATTATCCCATTCACAATCTCCACCAGATACCACTTGAAGAGAAATCGTTAAAAAGCCTCACTTGTAATGAAAAAAAAAAAAAGCATACCTCCAGGAATAATTACCAAATCTGTATTAAAGATCCACCTCCCCCACACATACTTTTTTTTAAACCAGTTTGGTTGGGTGACCTGCGCAAGCTTCCAGAACTAGCACTGACCAAAGGCTGTTCCAGGCTAATGTGTTGTTCCCAAACAAAACTTCATCAAAATAGAATGATTAAGAGAGGGCTCCACTACTCTGTGAGTGCTCTGATAGAAGTTGACTCTCTTTTTCCAATGAGTAAAAGTGTGGACAAAACCTGTCCTTCAACTTGGGCCAAAATTTGAGTCCCGCTCGCCACCTCCCAGCTGGATAACCTCAGCCACATTACTTAACCTGAGATGCTTTACCTATAATAGCTACTGTAATAGCTACTTAACCTCTCTAAGCTTTACCTAAATTAGCTTCCTTGCTGGATAGTTGGGGAAGTCAAGTGAAACATCTCGAATAAAATGGACGGAGTGAAGTCTGTCCTAATGTGTGTTTAATTATCCAGACTTTGGCTGTTTATCTCCATTTTCTGTAGGGGAGAAAAACAGGACAATGAAATTGTCTTAATGATTTCATGCTTCTCTAGTCAGTCAAATCCTTGATCACAAATCGGAAATATTGCTGGGGAATGGGGAGCTGAAAAAAAATTCAGTTCAGTGGCCAAACAACAATTAAAATGAAAACTCTTGCAACACACATTTTCCACGCTGACCCTGACTTGGCCAGGGAGAAAACTCTCCGCGCTGTCAAGACGTCAGGGATCCCACTTCTTGCACGGCTTAAAACAACCAACAGAGGGCGGTAGTTCTGCGGTACACAAAGGGGGGACCGGGATGGGGGTGGCAGGGAAATGAGAGAAGGGGAGGAGCAGCAGATTTAGCTTTACTAGTTGGCTTCTATTTGTGATCTGGCTGGATCTGCCAGGCTGATTCATCCTTGCAGCAGGTGGTTGTACTCTCTTCTGCCCTGAAAAGCATTTCTTGCCTTTACACGTGGACATGGGGTGTGTCGGATATTGGGAATTTATACACTAAATTGTTTTATTTATTTTATACACTTGTTTTTTTGGTTCTAGATGGCTTTCCTTTGCGCTCCCTCAGTATGTGTGTGGCCTTGGATAGAAAAAGGGGGACCTGGAAACAGCACAGTATGATAAGAGAGCCAAGACTTTTCTTAAGATCTGTGGGTCCCAGAGCAAGAGTAGAAAAGGAGTCCATGTGGTGAATCTCTAAATAGTTAAAAGTTACAGATCAAGCTGTTACACAGAATACATTCTATCCTCCTACTACTCTGACAAACGTATGGCTGAGAAGGCCAGGCCTGAATTTAGAGCTCTTGGGAGTCCTTGTAGCTCTGAGCTACATTGCAGGGGATGTTGGCCTTCAGCCTTTGCACCTGCCCCCAGCTCACACCCCTGATCCTGGGGTTCATCCTGCAGCTTGCGGGTCTAAGATCTGCTCGCTACCTGCAAAATGCTGCCCTTGGACCCAGGCGTGCACACACTGGTAGTCTGGCCCCCAAGAGGACGGATTCAAGCTTTCATAGGTCCTGGAAGTGCTCAGGACCATTCGTTACGGAATTCCAGGGATCCTGAGTCTAGAAGAGGACAATGGGCTCTGGGCAGACATGGCCCCTCTTGCCTGAGTCTAAGGACAGTAACTGAAGAGTTCTGGTAGGTGTCCCAGGACGGTGGTGCTGACTTTCCCACTTACTGGCTGGAATCCAGGGCCAGCTTGGGTGCCCACTCGGCACCTCACCTCCTGGGGGCCCAGAGATGATCCAGTGGCAATGGATGTGAGAGCATCTGCAAGCCAGGAAGGGGCACATAAATATCTGGAATAATTATTTCTGCTATAACCTCTGGCCTCAAAACAAGAGTTTCACAGGATCAGCAAATACTCCCGCAGCTGCAGGCTCAGGAATCCAGACCAGATGCTGGATGTACAAGGATGTACGGGCACTTGTTTCCTGTCAGGCAAGATACACAGAGCTGGCTTTGAAAATAGGTACAGTTCCAACCCACGGGATGAATGCCGACAAGCTCTGTCTTCCTGGGAGTGTGATATCACAGATGTGACAGACCTTTTTACTGTCATCCCACACAAAACAGCCTTGTAGAAATCAACAGAGAGCATGACCCAATCCCGTTCCTGAGGCTTTCAAAGGGATTATGTTTACAAACACGGGGCTGTGTGACTGCTGAACGTTCCTGGTTTTATGCAAAAATGGTGTTGGTTGAGCAAGCTGTGGACGATGTTTAATGGAAGTCAACAGAAATGATGTTCATGGAGTCTAAGTCATAACATGGAAAAAGGGTGATACTATAATGAGCGAAAAAGGCAGAATTCAATATGTGTACCCAAGATGCTGAGAAGTATGTTTAAACACACAAGCACCCACACAAGGGAAAACATGGGAGGAAATAGACCAAAACATTAACAAGGACTGTTTTGAGTGATGAGAGTCTGAGTTATTTATTTTTTTCTAGTTTTCTGAAATCTATTTAATAGACTATATGACTTTATTTATAATATCCTTTTTAAACATAAATTTAGAGGAAGCTAAATATTTAACATTTAGTTAACCATGTGAGGCGCCTGGGTGGCTCAGTCGGTTAGGCGTCTGACTCTTGGTTTCAGCTCAGGTCATGATCTCAGGGTCCTGGGATCAAGCCCCATCGGGCTTCCTGCTTAGCAGGGAGTCTGCTTGAGATTCTCTCTCTTCTCCCGCTGCCCCTCCCCGCTCCCTCCACCCCACGTGCTTGTACTCTCTCTCTCAAATAAATCTTTAAAAAAATTTAGTTAACCATGCTTATGTGTTCAAAATATTTTCTTTTAAAGTTATGAAACAATTCAAACATACAGTAAAAGTATAGAAAATAATACAACACATAGGCATGAGCCCGCTAGTCAAACATAACAGATTTAACACTTTCTGCTGTTTTTTTTTTTTTTTTTTTTTTTTAGATTTTATTTATTTATTCATGAGAGACAGAGGGGGAGAGAGAGAGAGAGAAGCAGAGGGAGAAGCAGGCTCCCAAGGAGCGGGGAGCCCGATGTGGGACTCGATCCCAGGACCCTGGGATCATGACCTGAGCCGAAGGCAGACGTTTAACCATCTGAGCCACCCAGGCACCCCTTTCTGCTGTTTTTTAAAAAACATTTAAAAAAATGGAATACAAGCAATCCAACCAAAGCCCTCCATCCTGTTCTCCATCCCTCTCCCCTGAGGTTGATATAAATTGCTCCCATCTATGTTCTTATGCTTTGACTATGTTTGTTTTGTGAATTTAAAAAATTTACACAAATGGTATTGGAATGTCCATACTTTTTTGCAGCTTGCTTTTTAAAAAAACTCAACATCTTTTTTTTTTTTTAAGATTTTATTTATTTATTTGACAGAAAGAGAGCAAGAGAGGGAACACAAGCAGGGGGAGTGGGAGAGGGAGAAGCAGGCTTCCCACTGAGCAGAGAGCGGGATGCGGGGCTCAATCCCAGGAGCCTGGGACCATGATCTGAGCCACGCAGGCGCCCCAAAACTCAACATCTTTAAGATCTATTTCATTCACTTTAATTAATTGTATGAATACTCCTCCACGTAGATATTCAATTCCGAGTTCATGGACGTTTACCACCACACATGGTGCAGGAGTATTCCCGCTCACACATGAACAGTCCCCCCACGTTGAAGGTATACGATACCAGGAAGCGAATGTGTAGCTTCGCGGCGCACGCGCACTTCCAATTATACCGTCCTGGCCCAGGGAACAGCCAACTTACCGGGGTCTCCCGGAGCCTCGTGGCTTACCACAACTGCCCATTTACCAACACAGGTCCTTAAGTTTTTACGTAAACTGCTGTCCAGCCAAGCATCCCCACTGAGTATGTGGCATTTGTTTTTATTGTGAATGTGGGACTTCACATCTCTCACTATTAAGTTAATATGGATATTGGGACCATTTGTTTAACCAACAGACACAGCATCATGATACACATTTGGCAAGAGATGAAACATAACGAGTATTTCAAACGGTTACTGTTATTTGTTTTTGACATTTGTGATATTCTGCTGGGTAAATCTGGAATTACTTGATGTTCAGTAATGCTCCC